AAAATCTCTCTCAAAAAAAAAAAAAAAAAACTGAACAAGATGTGGGGCTGGCCCTGTCTGTCTACATAGAAAACAGTACATAAAACCTTTCAAAACAGAAGTGAATTTTAACTGTTTCTGAAATCTGGGGGGGTGGGGGGCATAATAATTAGTTGATCTATTTCTGAAAGTATCATTTGGTTTTAATTTCCTCTACAGATTAGCTCTGATCATCTAGTAGAAAATGCAAGTTTAAGTAAGTTTGAGTTGATGATAATAACAACAGTAATAATAGCAGCTAATATTACTTAGTGGTATTGGCCAGTTTCTGTTCTAAGCATTTTATATGTACTTTTGTAGGCCAAAGTGATTCATCATAATAACACTTACAAGACAGTTATATCATTTGTATTTTACATATGGAGAAACAGGTACCCAGAGAGTTTAAGTAACTTGTGGAAGGTTAACATAATTAAAGAGTCCCCAAGGCAGAATTTAAACTCAGGAAGTCTGGCTACACAATCCATGCTCACACATTACATTGTACAGCCTTGAGTATTTCAAACAAGAAAAAACAGATGAACAAAAGTAGGCTCTACAGACTATGCATGGACTATTTCATCTAGAACAGTATTTGGGAAGATGCCATAATTCAACAAGGATGTCTTAATCATTTGCATAGTTAGGCAGTTAAAACTGAATCCTGAGGATACAAAGATGAATGAGATACAGTGCCTACCTTCAAAGAGATCACGGTCTGGCTTTAAAAAAAAAAAAACATGCAAATAAAAAAGTGAAACAAAATGTATTGACTTCTCTACAGAAGACATCAAAAGTATAAGGGACAGTGTTCAATATTACTTTAAAAGAGTCAGAAGAGGCTTCTGGGAGGAAGTCCCTGAGCTGAATCCTCAATAGTGAGTTTGCATTTATTAATGGAAATGGGAAACAACAGAGAGATTTTTTTTCCAAGTAGAGGGAGCAGGGAACAACATGAGAAAACATAGAGGAAAAGTTGTTCCTGCTCAATGATAATGGAATATAGATCTGAAGCATACCAGTGTCATAAGGCTGAAGGAAAAAAATGAAAGTCTTTTATTTATTTAGTAGAAATTTTAGGGACAGCAGGTGGCTTGGTGGTTAAAGGCACTGGATCCCCACATGTTCGACTGCAGTTAGAGTCCCAAAACTGTCGGCTTGCTTTTTCACTTTCTCTCTCTCTCCCCCCCTCTCTGGCTCAATTAAAATAAATAATGTTAAATAAAATAATTCTTTATTAAAAATAATTTTTGCTACAGAGCATGTGCACTTCGCTGGAGAAACAGAGACAAAAGGCAAGAAATCACACACACACCTCCCCAGGATGCCACACTGCAAACCCTTCACCTTCATTCTCCTCTCTAGATTTTGGGTATGCACACACATGTTCCCGGCATGAGTTTCAAGCCTCCAGGTCTGAGACTTTAAACCACAATCAACTATGTGGGCGTCCAACAACATAAACATTATACCATTTGCTAGTCCTGAAAAAAAGGAGAGTCTAGATTATTAAAAATCTTGCATGATATTGTGGTTTGGATAATGGTTTGTCTCCTATAGATTTGTGCTCTGAAATTGTGGTCCCCAATGTAACAGTACTGAAAGCTGATGACATACCTAAGAGGTGAAGTCTAGGAGGTGACCTATGAATCATGGATCTCATTAATGGATTAACATATAGATAATGCAATAGAATGGAGAGTTCAGCAATAAACCCTTACACTTAATGGTCAAGTGATCTTCAACAGATGCAAGTCAAGCCAATGGCAAAAGTATTCTCTTTTCTTTTTTTTAAATAATCCTTTTATTTAAGTATTTTATTTATTTGTTTGTTTGTTCATAATTTTGACCAGAGAGGGACAGAGTGAGAGAGAAAAAGAGAGGGAGAGAGAAGGAAAGTGAGAAAGCAAGCTGCCAGGTCTGGGACTTAAACGTATTAGGCCATGTGGGAGTCCAGCACCCTTAACCACCACACCGCCTGCTGGCCCCCAGAATTCTCTTTTCAACAAATGTTTCTGTGACAACTGCGGATATTATAAGCAAACCAATGAAGTTACACATCTACCTCACATTACACACACACAAAGTAACTCAAAATGGATCACAGAGACTGGCAGGTGGCATAGTGGTTAAGGTAGCTGAATCCCACATGGCAACTCCCTGGTTTGAGTCCCAGGTCCAGCAGTTTGAAAATCACAACAGGTGCATGTGTGTAAGTGCCCAAAAGCCCCATAAGAGAATGGATTGAAAGAGATTGAGGTGTGGCTATCCCCCTGGGAGGGGAGGGGCATTGCTTTCCCACTTTCTGTCTCTCTCACTCTCTATGAGTACACATACACTATGGGAAGAAAAAAAAACTTTTAAAAAATGGATCACAGACATATATCTAAGAGCTAAAACTATAAACACTTAGAATAAAACACAGGAGTAAATTTTTGTGACTTTGAATTAAGCAATTATTTCTTAGCTGTGACATCAAAGGCATATACACTCAAGTAAATAGATAAATGGGATTTTGCCAAAACTAAAAACATGTGTGCTTCAGAAGACACCATTAAAAAATTGAGAAGACAATCACATTATGGAACACAATATTTGTAAATCATGTATCTCATAACTAACAGTATCTAGAATAAAGGATTCTTACAACTCAGAGTCAGCAGGTGGTATGGTGGTTAAAGCACTGGTCTCCCACATAGCCATGGTTTAAGTCCTGGACCTGGAGGCTTGCTTACCTACTTTCCCTTTCTCTCGCTCTCTCTCTCTCTCTGGTCAAATTAAATGAATAATAATAATTACAAATGAAAAATAATTCTTTATAAAAAAATAATAAAACCCTGGGCTCATGTGTGTGTGCCCAAGATCCCAAAAGAATGGAGAAGGGATTTCACTGTGGCCATACCCCTGGGGGTTGATTTTTTATTCTCTGTCTCTTCAGCAAGCACACATGCCCTATAGCAAAAGTTGCTCTTAAAAAAAGTGTGGGATTGTATTAGTGATAACAGTATATACAATCAGTATATGAAAAACCTGTTAACAATGAACTCCCAGAGGAAAAAAAGTAAAGTTAGAGCTGAAGAGGAACATGCCTCAGCTAGGAACTGCATTTATAAAATTATAATAGTATAAGCACTAAATACTGACTTAACCAATTTTATACCAACTCTATTGGAAGATGGAAAGATAAGGGAGCATGTGAATAGTATGGGTGAAGGATGGAAGTAAAAAGCTGAATCCCCACCTTCCAAGTCAATGGTTAATACCCAAAACTGAAAGTCAAAGTAGCAGCAATACATGCATATTACCGCATTGAGATACATGAAAGTAAATAGCAAAATAATCAGCTGAAGTTGAGTCTTGCCATGAGGGGGCGAGGAGAGGGAATCTGAGGGCAGGCAGAAGGAAAAGCATAGTGTGTAAAGACAGCAACTTGGGGCTATGTCATTGGACTCTCATGTAGTAGACCACGGTTTGGGTCCTGGACCTGGTGGCTTAAACTCACGCCAGGTGTGTGTGCGTGCATGCCCAAGATCCCAAGAGGAGAATGAAGGAGAAGGGATTGCAGCTTGGCCATCCCCCTGAGAGGGTAATTTCTCGCTTTCTGTCTCTGTCTCCTTCTGTCTTTCTGGTGAGCGCACATGCTCTATAGCAAAAACCCCTCCAAGAAGAAAAAAATTAAAGAAATCACAACACTGATCATAAAAATATAAATAAATTGTACTGTAAAAGAATAGGGCATTGGTTTACATTACATACATTACCTCACATTTCT